TCATCTATATTAAGGTGCTATCACAGCATTTGATAGGAGGAACTAAGGAAGGTCACGTCATTTCATTTCAATTTACTGGGTTTTACACCATATTGTTGTGACTGGTCACCTTCCGTTTTCAACCACTGGCTTCTGATGAGTTAATCACCGTACTTCAAGCATTGTTTTAGCTTTCTGTATGTGATTTCTTTCAAGTTAACTCTTATGATTATTAAACCTGTTAGGTGAGTCTGGTATGTGCACTGCAGTTCTGTTTGAATGTGTCTGTAAGGCATGTTGGGAACACAAAGAAACCCCTGTGGGGACTCCTTATTTTCTTGGTGAAGCAACTTGGATTGTCAGTATCATAGCCTCTTATTTATGTTTCTCAGTGCTTCATACAATTTAAACAACGAGCACCATGGATAGGTAGTGCACTTGGAAGAGTGGAAAGGTATATTCCATTGAGTGCACTTTTCAGAAGAGTTCTTTGCTGTTTTATGACAGCTACATTGAGTCATAAATTATTATTTTTTTGTATTTCATTAACTTTACACTGTATTGAAAAATGTTTAAAAAAATTTGTAGATATAAAATTTATCTGTATTTTATGTTATGTACGCTTTTAGTTCAGTGAAATTCATGTAATGTACTGGTTACATTGGGCTGATGTGATTCGAAAGAAAATTTTATTTACAGATTTTAATGCATATTCCTGCCAATACCAAAATTCAGAATCCATTCATTAGTTTCAGAAATGATATGTTCAGATGGTTGGATGAATGTCTTTCATCATTATTTGCTGTTTTTAACGTTTGGCAGAAATAGTCGTGAGAATATATGACCTTGGGAATTTCTCAAGACCTGTATCTAGGAAACTATTGGGCCGATTTTGTCGTGGCATCCATATGGCCATGATCAATACCTGAACTCAGTGTGACATGAGTATGGTCGACCAGGTGTTAAACGTTTGACAGAAATAATCGTGAGAAGATATGACCTTGGGAATTTCTCAAGACCTGTATCTAGGAAACTATTGGACCGATTTTGTCGTAGTTTCCATATCAGCTTGACCTATACGTGACCTCTTTCT